GGGGCTTATCGCGGACGGGGCAAGGGTTGGGGCGGCGCGGTGGTGGAGAGGCCATCAGTGCAACCGAAGCGTATGCGCAAAAAAAAAAGTGAAACCAAAGGGACAGTAAATGAGTGAGGTGTGAATGGGGTTTGGGCGGTAACCGCCAAACGTAGTGCATGGCAGCTTCACTGTTTATCCTAGAGATTAGTCGCTGGGCCGTGCCTCTGCTTCTTTCCATTGGCATCGGTCGTGTGTGAAATTATGGAAAGAAACGACCGTAGAAGTGCGCCGATGCGTACTGCCTTGTCCCCCTTGCCCGGCGCCGTCCGTAGTGCCGCATGCGCTTACACGAATAAGCAGCGGGCAGCCAGCAGGGCCGGCGTGGCAGCATGTGACTGACCGCCCACCACATTTTTACACTGAATCCTTGTACCGCCAGCCGTGCCTACCCTACCCCCCATGACCATGAGCAGCAAATCACCACGCCTGTCTGCCATGCCCATGGGTGACGGCGCATGTTCCAGCACAGTGCCCCGACCATGCGGCCGGTGCGACAAGTCATCCACCACACGATGAATTTCAGGACCAACAGACCAAAACACATTTCATCTACATACATATAACATATATTCCTCGGTGATATATTAGTCCAAGATCACCACCTTCTACTAGCAAAAACCCAGCTTTCCCTTCCATCCACGATTCAACCTGGAGCTGCTGCTCCATTTCTCTCCTTGTCACAGACTTACAGGTAGTACAACAGAGGCGGCAAAATACCGAAATCTAACCATGTAACTGGGAAAGGAACAACAGCCTGCGTTTAGCTGTCTGTCTAGCCCATGTAGCCGCCGCTGCGGTAGCGCAGCCCGCTCTGCTCGTAGGCCACCGCGTCGCAGTGGTTCACCGGCTTGATCTCCACGGCGCGGCGCGCGCTGTCCACCTCCTGCACCGCCCCGAAGACGATCTCGTTCGTCGCCTCGCAGCTCGGCTCGTAGAACGTCTGCGGCCCCAGGGAGTACTGCCTGTTGTGCTGCAGGTACTGCTGGTGATGCACCTGCTGTTGCTGCTGTTGCTGCTGCTGAGGCGATTCTCCGTTGTTCCAGCCGTTGTATGGGGCCCGGCCCTGCCGGATGTGGTGGATCTTCTCCGGCTCCTTGGACATGAAAGCGTAGTTCTTGCGAGGGGTCGGTGTCCTCGTGTCCACCACCGGAGGCGTCTCATCACGCGGGATGGCGTAGCTTTCTTGCACTGGCCAGGGGCTTGCTCTGCCCTGCTGGTATTGGTGGACGTTTGGGCGCTTCTTCCTGGAAAATGCTGCACCGACGATCTCTGCAACGGATGATTTTGCTCCTCCGATTAGCTTGCCGAGTGAGGTGAAGAACCCCTCTTCGACTTCTTGTTTCTCGGATTCGTCCTCGTTTGGGATTAGCGGGGGTCGAAGGGAAGGCTTTAGCGGCTTCTGAATCTGGTATGGAGGGATGCTTGCGATGCTGGCTTTCATTGGAGTCTGGAGTTCCTGCAAGATAATTTACATTCAAGCCAATGCTGTGGTCAAATTTACTGCAACAAGATCCCTGTCAAAACCCAACTACTGCACAAAAAGAAAATGCAAATAACATGACACCTATTTTCAAATTTAGGAGAAGGATAGCATAAACCTACACAGTTGTGTTAGGTTTTGAAAATATTTCATACTGGATTATCCTTCCAGAATAAACAAATTGGACCTTTATGCATAAATTTCACATGCCCCACCTAGTTAATCGGAAGCAGCTTCTGATTAAGACTGGGCAATTCAATACATATGTTTCCATTCCGAATTACGTTAACTGGTTAACTGGTCCGCTAGGTAGCACTGTGAACTTCCTGATAATAAGTTATTTTACCCAGCAATTTCAACTAGAATGCTGTACTGGTGTACTAGCTATCCAACAATCCGGTAACTGTGGGCTATGTGCGGGCATAGTAAAGAAGTTGGCTGGGGCCAATGAATGATGGACATCAGTACCAGGAGTGACAAAAGACTGATGGCAACATATTCATGTGCTGGCCTGCCGGGGTACAGCAGGCCCATGGTCCATTGTAGCCCTTGCCTTATTTGCTAACTCTGCCAATCTGGCAGTCAAGTTACATGATGTTTTTCCTCACAAAAAAAGAAAAGAAATAGTAAGCACTTACATCTTCTGTTGATACCATCCCTAAAACCCGGCGTTGGAGCAATGCAAGCATGTAGCCGAAGAAAGCAGCAGCAAGAAGCAGTGCTACTCCTGTAAGAATACAATCTATGTAGTTAGCTACACGGTACAAATGTTAAAAAGCTAACTCGGGAAGAAATAGTATGTGTCGACAACAAGTTATTCAGGGCATATAATAAATTGCACAATGCATACCTAGAGGAAAACCAGCTTCATACTGGTACACACAGTCATCAAAGTTGAGCTGAATCTCCCGAATAGCTTGATTTCCTCTGTCAATCACCAAAAGGGAGCAGCTACTGGCAATGTAACGGACTTCAAAATCAGTAGAGAATTTTGCATCATCACTTGGTCCATCAACATGCCCTCCTCTGCTTGATTTCCCACCAGCAATAGTTGTAACTCCTAAATGACACAACGCAATACATCAAGTACTTCTTTTATAATAAATTAGACAAGAAGAAACATGCATAGGGATGGCAGAGCATTTAGGTTAAATTTTACTGCAAAGAAACAAAGTTAATTTGAAGATGGTGATATAATTATGCATGTTAAAAGAATTCAACTGTCAGGCTTCTGATTAAGTTAGATGAATGGGTAAATTTGGGGCACACAAGTAACAATGCAAGACGGCATTATCGTATTAACAGTACCAAGTAGAAGTGTTATGCAGGCAATGTTGTGATGCAATAGATTAACTAGAGCAACTTAATCAAGTTAAAAAGCAGAGATGTTTCATTTTAAATTCTTATATGCAGCTTTAGAACATTATAATGTTCCGGGAATAGATTGGTTTGAATTCAAAAGAGCAGTATTCTCTCATTTTTTTGTCTCACAGTTGTGCTCTGCAAATCAGAAGTGATGTGTGTATAGAGCTTCAAGAAGTTTTAAAAACATGTTCCATTTTGGTCATCACAATGACTTTCGGAGATCACCCTAAGCAAATTTACATAGGCTTTGTTATATTGGTTTACACTTTTCATCCTTCCAAATTCAATTTTGGATGCAGGTGCCAGTTACTAAATACATGTAGGAAAAGTCCAAGAAATCCAAAAGGCAGACATAGGATGCTCAGGGAACAGACAAAACCATGTGCATATACCCCACAAGACATTTTAGCTTACCTGTATCACTGATCTTTCTAACAGCCATGTTCATAGCATCAGCCACATATATGTTACCCCTGCCGTCCACCGTAAATCCCTTTGGATGGTTCATCTTCGCCTCTCGCAGCCTCCCATCAATATGACCAGGAATTCCTTCTGGTGAACCAGCAACAAGCTTTGGTCTGCTATCTGCATTTGTTCATATCAGGACCACAAGATGAAACCAGGGTTAATATAGCCCAAAATCATCTGTTGCTGAACATGGATAGCCATGTCATCATCACCTTATGGAAAATGTAGAAAAAGAAAAGGTAGATCACAAAACAGGGTAAAGCTGTATAGGACAATCATCTTAAGTCAGGATATCATCATGCCAACTTGTCCTTGCCAATGCTATAAATTAATAAATTATATCATCAACTTGAAGAGATTAACATGAACCCCGCAAAAAAAAAAGTTTTTAAAATAACCCCAAGTGCATCGAACACCTTACAAATTATAGACCCAATTGCCCACTTTTACATGTGCAAATTACTTCTTCAAATGAAACAAACCAGGCAATAAGAACAGATGAAAAACGTCGCAATTTCGCACGGCTAACTAACAAATACATCGCAATCAAGAGATAGGCCAGAGCAGAATTCATGACTCCAACCAACCCACAGCATCAGCAGTTCAACACCAACCCTGACCAATCACTTGGCGTGCATCTGATTAGCAGAATCCCACTAGGCACTAACTAGATACTCCAAATTTAGGGAGCACTAGAAAGAAAAGAGAAGGGGGCTCACATCGGGACAGCGGCAGCGCGATCCGGTAGATGTTGCTGTTCATGGAATCCATGACGAGCAGCTCGCCACCCTGGGTGACCTCCACGGCGTACGGCTCGATCCCCAGCTTGCTGCCGTCGAAGACCGTCTCCACGGTGTAGCCGCCCTCGTACTTGACCATGGATTTGGCTGCACTCGCTGCTCCCCACACAGAGAAACCAACATTGTTTGAGGAAAACCACGATTCAAGAAACCTGGAAAGCGCGCAGGCGAAGAGAGGGATTCCAGCAGTCACCTGTCTTGACCGTCGATTTGAGCGACCACAGCCGCTTCAACACCGCCGACGCCGCATTGGAGAGGAAGCCGCTCACCACCTCTGCGACGGCAACCAAGAAAACTCGTCAGGGCCGAACCAAATCAAGAAACGCGGAAGGGGGAGAGAGAGCGAGAACCCGGGCTCACTTGCGGGGTACGACGCCGCGGACGCCGGAGGGGCGAAGGCGCCGAGCAGGAGCGCGGCCACGAGCAGCGCCGCGACGCCTCCCCTTGCGGCACCCATTGGGCTAGCACCACGGCGCGCAGTCCCTGAACCCCTGACAGCGCGAAGCCAAGAAGCGGGGAAGGGGAAGGTTGTACCGGCGGTGGAGTTCAGTGGGAGCGGGAGGCGGCCATTTGGGGAGGACAAAAGTCTCAGATCGAGGAGGGGAATGGGGGGAAACGCCCAAGAATCCGAGCTTTTCTTGCGGGAAGGGGCCGGAGGAGAGAGAGATTAAAAAGGGGGAGAAAGGGACAAGAGAGGCGCTGTTTCGCCTGGCTGCTGCTGCTGCTGGCTGACACTCTCCGGTCGCCTTCTTGCGCCTTCTTCGCTCTACGGAATTTTTCGGCTGGGGTTTTGGGGGTAGGGGGAGAGGAGGGGAGGATGTGACGGTGACGAGAGAGAGAAAGAGGGGCGTTCACGTGCAGAGGGGGTGGTGATGTAGGTGGTGTTCATCCGTCATTTCGGCGTCCCCTTTAAAACCCCTCGCCGCCTTTTCACCAGAGGAATCTGGGGAAAGAAACGAGCTTTTTGTTTAGGGACTCGCTAAATCTCCACCGAATATGAAGAGTTGAATCAAGCCTTTTTAAAAAAATCAAGTGCTAATCATGCTTGAATGCATATATGCCCTCCGCACCCAACTCTCTATTGGGCATTTTAAAAAAAATGTCTATTTGAGGGTAACTTTTATGGAAACGCGGGTTATGGCTCCTATATGCATTGTATCTTAACTCGTATCATATGCATTAGATGTGTATTTATATACGCTTATTCGATGGCTTGTATCTTCAAAAAATCTTTCATTTAATGATTTTTTACGCGAGAAAGATCATGAGTTGCCTTGGATTCGGTGCTAGGAGGCCTTGGATATACCTTGGAGGGTAACTTTTACGGAAACGCTTGTCGGGGTCATCGTGCATATCTTCATGGCCTCGCGTTGCAATTTTGGATACTCTTAATTTATACGTTAGAACCATGCCACTAAGCATGTGACGCTCGTCTGTGGGCCACACCCAAACGTTTTAACATCCCACTGGATAACGTCAAAGCGTTAAATTAAGCTTTTTTTTAACTCGAGTGCTAGTCATGCTAAGATGCGTATATGCCCTCGACACCTAATTGTGTCTTGGAGGAGAACTTCCATGGAAATGCAGGTTAAGGTTGTCCGATGTATTTCATCTTAAGTCGTAGCGTATGCATTACATCTGTATTTTGATACGCTTATCCAATGGCTTGCATCAAAAAAATCTTCATTTACTTGAGAAAAATACGAGTTACCATGGATTCGATACTGAGGAGCCCTTGGATATATATTAGAGGGCAACTTTTATGTATCGCTCGTCAGGGTCACGTTGCATATCTTCTTGGATTCGGTGCTACGAGCCCCTGGATATATCTTAGGGGGCAACTTCTAAGTAAACGCTTGTCACAGTCACATTACATATCTTCTTGGTCCTGGCGTTTCAATTTTGGATACTCTTACTTTACATGTTAGAGCCACAACACCGAGCATGTGACGCATGTGGACCACACCAGAACCCTCCAACATCCTACTGGATAGCGGCAAAGCCAAGCACTCCAATTGGGTCACTCCTCCAAGATAGCGCCTCCAAGGAGGCATCAAACACGCCATTGACATCTGGTCTAGCAAACTAGATATGGATTTTCACCCAAAGGATGAGACCTCAACGATCGGAGGGTGGTCGGGATCTTCATGGTGATGCCATCAAGATGGGAACGACGTGGAAGAGCATCGACATAGTCTAGAAAGACTTTCGTCCGGAGCGCCACAACCATCATCAGGTTGCCACAAGGATAGCTAGCCCTCCGTGCCACCAAACCTTATATGCCACCAGAGAGCCAACAACCTCACCCGGACCACCACTAGCAATGCACCATCGCATACGCTCCTAGTACACTCCACCAAGACCATAATGCATTGGAGCCACCGCTCTAGCTTCCGCGCATTGACACCCACATGTTTAGATCCAAGTGTGAAGGGCCCATCTGATGCCAACATAGGCATGCCGCTTGCCGTCGTGCCTCCGGCACGGTAAAAGCAACCATGACTAGCAATGTTACACCTTCGTGGCCCATGAATTGTCTGGTTGGTTTGCCTGGTTTCCTTCTGCTCACGTGGTTCTGAGTGGGAGTACTCGGTTCCGGTGGTTCATCAAATTCTCAACGGCTTAGCGACCAAGACATTTGTCTAGCGTACACCTGCATGTGATGCGGTAGACGATGGGACATGAGGCAACACGTCTGCACTAGCATAGCTGTACTAAGCTTGCCCACGACGAATGTAGGACGGGAACAAACAGTAGCCACTGTCGATGACAAACCGACAGGGCTCACCTGTTTTCAACCGGTGAGCCGCATGAACGTCGACGCTCAGCCAGGCTGATCCACTAACCATTAGAATAAACACAACCCAAAGCCAAAACGAAGGAAACAATGTGTCTTGCGGTGCCACGATAAAAGGAAAAACACATCAAACAGTAGAGAACGCAAGCACGAACAATGGACCAAAAGGGACTACCCACCCCAAACATAAACGGTGCGACAACTGATGACGAATAACACGCTTCTTGATGCCCCGAGAATAGGGTAGGATGCACATACATGCGAGAAGGAAGAGCTCGGGGATGTGTTTGACCTCACCGGTAGGGACGGGTGAAGAGCCCTCACGAGTAGCCAGAGACGTGAACCAAAGTGAGACGGAGGCCATTGCACGTGGCGTCCAATGCGTGGCATAAAACATTGAATTTATATGAAAACACAACCACCTTAAGAAAAAAGTCAAACAGCCCATGATGCATGCCAGGTCCTACAAACGCAACGCTGGCTATCCGACCTTTTGTTGTTTTGACTCCTGGCCGGATGGCCCAACATCATGACCCCTAGCCGAATGGCCCTCTTCGACCACTCAACATGCACAAGCCCGGCTCGCACAAGCAAAACAACCCGGTGCGGCGGCGAGCGACACTGATAGGCGGACTTGGCATCGCCCAGCATGCGAGGGGCTTCGCATGAGTGTGATATCCCACAAGTGTAGGGGTCAATTCTATATCTTTTTGATAAGTAAGAGTATCGATCCCACGAGGAGCTGAAGGAAATGGTAAGTGGCAAAATAGCAAGGATTTACTGCAAGTACTAAAAGGTGTAAGGTTATTGTGTTTTGTGATGGTAATGGAGCAGTGGAACATGATTAATAAAAAGTAATGGAGTGCAACAAGTGGCCCAATCCTTAAGAATTCTAAGGGCAAGCCGTCTGTGTTACTTATGATGATCAAACGTTCTTGAGGATGGCAGGATATTTGCATAGTTGTCAACCCCATATATGATTGCATTTATTATTATTGTTTAATCAGTGTTATAGGGCTATACCTAATACAATGTGATGCAAAACCATTAACTCACACATACTAATGATTGTGCTCCTAGAAAGTAACACAAATACTAAGATTGGTTCTAGTAAACATCCAACCATAGTCACAACTTCCTCTAGGGTCCGTACTTACCCCTCATGTCATAACTCGTCAAATTGGGAAACCGTAATTTCTCTCACTCCGGCCTCCAAGACTAAACTTATTATGACACAATGCTCTCCTTAGGCCCTTAAAGCTGATGTATTATGCAGTTGATGTTCGCATAACACCACTAAAGAATTAGACTACAACATGATTACGGTTTCATATATATATATATATATATATATATATATATATATATATATATATATGAAACTTGACAACTAACTTTCTCCTATATCCTCAAGAACACAAGGGAATTAACTACTCACAACATATCACATAATTGTGAACATATTCATCATGCTGATGATAATTGTAACAATATGAAAGCAATGATCTTTCACCAATAAAACACAAGACATCAACTACCAATACATCAATTAACACCAACAAGTGGTACCGGTAATCAGAACACAATCAATTGTATGGAAGTTGATGAGATGGGAATGGGGTGATGTTGTTGATGATGGAGATAGCGGGTAAGACTTGGATGAAGATGTTCCCCTTGACACACTGGGGTTGGTGATTATGATTGCTTCAAATTCCCCCGGCCAGAGGTCAGATTTGGCCAAAAATAGCCTTCTAGAGGAAGAACTGGGTTTCTTCCTCGTAGCGGTGGCGGGAATATCAACGGAACATGTATACATCAAATAACCTCAGGAGAGACACTAAAAGGCTTGGGAGCACCAGGGTGATAAGAACCACTTCTATTATGGAGCAAGCAAGAGTACTAGAAGCCGAATAACCAAAAGTTGGACTAATCCATTCATTTCACATGGGAGGAGCCTGATACGTCCATTTTGCATCATGCTTTTATATCAATATTTATTGCATTATGGGCTGTTATTACACATTATATATCAATACTTATGGCTATTCTCTCTTATTTTATAAGGTTTACCATGAAGAGTGGGAATGCCGGCAGCTGGAATTCTGGCCGGAAAAGGAGCAAACATTGGAAACCTATTATGCACTGCTCCAAAAGTCCTGAAACTCCACGAAACTTATTTTTGGAATTAATAAGAATTATTGAGCGGAAGAAATACCTCACAGGGCCCACACCCTGACCAGGAGGGTGGGGGGCGCGCCCACCCCTACTGGGCGCGCCCCTGTCTCCTGGACTCCCTAGTGGCCCTCCGGTGTCCATCTTCTACTATATGAAGGCTTTTACCCTGGAAAATATCATGGGCAAGCTTACGGGACGAAACTCCGCCGCCACGAGGCGGAACCTTGGCGGAACCAATCTAGAGCTCCGGCAGAGCTGTTCTGTCAGGGACACTTCCCTCCGGGAGGGGGAAATCATCACCAACGATCCTCCCATCGGGAGAGGGTTAATCTCCATCAACATCTTCACCAGCACCATCTCCTCTCAAACCCTAGTTCATCTCTTGTATCCAATCTTGTATCCAAAACCACAAATTGGTACCTGTGGGTTGCTAGTAGTGTTGATTACTCCTTGTAGTTGATGCTTATTGGTTTACTTGGTGGAAG